CAGGGTCCTGGAACAGACTGGTTCTGTGGGTTGGCCCTTCTGTCTCAGCCGACCCGCCCTTCGGTTCCAGACTCTCCTCCGAACCATCCGACTTGTTCACTTTTCTCACTATTCTTGTTGGTGGATTTTGACGAACCTGTCACACTGGCCTCTGGTTTGCCTTGAACCCTTCCCAGACATGTTTTAGGAACTTAGGAATAGATCTGGGGGCACCTGGGTGGCTCAGTCGGGCTCTCTGCTGTCAACACAGAGCCTGCTTCAGATCCTTTCTCTCTCCCTCCCTCTCTCCGCTCCTTCCCCGCTCACTCTATACAAAATAATAAATAAAAAAAAATTTAGGGGTGCCTGGGTGGCTCAGTCGGTTAAGCATCCAACTTCAGCTCAGGTCATGATCTCATGGTCCATGAGTTTCAAGCCCCAGGTCAGGCTCTGTGCTGACAGCTCAGAGCCTGGAACCTGCTTCAGATTTTGTGTCTCCCTCTCTCTCTGCCCCTGCTCTGCTCATGCTCTGTCTGTCTGTCTGTCTCTCTCTCTCTCAAAAATAAGTAAACATTGAAAAAAATTTTTTTAATTAAAAAAACAAAGAACCGATCTGGAAGGCTCAAAGATAACTCTAATACTCTGCGATCAGGACAAAAATGATGCCCACATGGCATTTCTTGTGAGGTTGATCTGACTTCACCTTGATTCATTTCTACTGACCTGATTCTTAAAAAGTTGTGGACTGGAGGGCACCTGGGTGGCTCAGAAGGTTAAGCGTCTGACTCTTAATTTTGGCTCAGGTCATGATCTCACGGTTTGTGGGATTGAGCCCCACGTCTGGCTCTGTACTGATGGCACAGGGCCTGCTTGGGATTCTCTCTCTCTCTCTCTCTCTCTCTCTCTCAAAAAGAAATAAACTTTTTTAAAGAGTGTGGGCTTGAACATCAACGTAAGGAGATTCAAAATATAAAAGTGTAAAAAGACGTGCAAGGTGTCAGCACTTAATTGACTCTGAAGCCTCTAGCCTTGTAGGGGAAATGACGTATCCTTGGTGACACAGGTGCACTGAGCATTTCCCGTGGCCGCGACACGGTCCAGGGGCCAGTCACTGTCTCCTGTGTGTCTGTTGAGGGCCTTCATTGCGGGGCCCCACAAAGGACTGTAAACAAAGCTGGCGCATGAGAACGGTGACGGGTGGTCTCTCCCCACCCCCACCAACCTCACCACCATCCATGGTCTTCTCTGTTGCTGAGCGAGCCTTCCAAAGGTCACGTTGGCCAGAGCCTTCCTTAGAGTCTGACGAAAACCTCCAGCTGGGAAGCTTCTGGGTAGAGAGAGGGGCAGTGAGGAGCCCCCTACGTCCACACCGGGTTCTCTTCTCCGTGACTAGAGATGGACACGAACATCTGTGCACATGATCACGTGTGGCGGCAACAGTGAGCACCCGCGGGGACCACCCCTCAGGAGCCCCCGTGTGGTGGCCACACCGTGATGGAGCGTCCACACTGCCCAGGAGCGAGGTTCTGCCTCTGTCAATGAGTCTCTCGCAAATCCTCCTGGAGTGTCTCGGGCCGTCCAGGGAGCGGGGGCTGCCGTGGTTGATGAGCGAGACGCCCAGAGCTGCAGCCGGCCCCACCGGCCGCCGAGCCATTAGACAGATGAGGCAAAAGTGGGGTCTTGACCACTGAGGGTGGCTGTTGGTCGAGGAAATGCCAACCTCCTGTCGTTGGAATGTGTCCACTCAGACCGCGCCCTGGTTTTCTGGATCTCATTTTGCCAGTCCTGCCTTTGCGACTGAAAGCAGGGATCACCCCCCCTGCCCTGAGAGCTGGGAGACAGCTGTGGGTGTTCACGACGGTAGGGACCCTCTCTGTGCTCCGGAGCGGCACGGACAGGAAGGGCTGAAGCAGGTGCCCCCGGGAACCCACCAGCATCTGCAACAAAAATGAAAACTTCTGGCAAGTCCGGGGGACCGTCTTGATCACAAGTGGTATCTTCAAAGCGCTTTAATTACAGAGGATTAAGCCAAACGCCAAGTGCTGGAATGAGGGAAGAATTGGCACAAAGGAAAGCCAAGCAGAAAAAACCTAATTTCCTTCCTTTAAGGGGAGAAAAAAAATATCCATTTATTTAAACGAACTGCGAAGGAAAAGAATGGCCTTTCCCCACCCCCACCCAGAGTTCAGTGGGTCTTGAAAGGACCGCGTGTCTCCTGGGCCAGACCAGGCCAGCACCGTCAGCCTGTCTGCAGAAATTGGAGGGCAGGCTCGGAACTTCATTACGACGCAGGAGCACCCCCCCACCCCCGGACAAATGACTCGCTAATTCAGCCCCTTCTCTCGCATGTCTCCGTGCAGGCCCTTGCCTGGCTTAGCTCATATTTTTACATTCAGCACCTCTGGTTACCCAGAAATTGCATGTGAAATTGTGAAAGCGAAAAGCAGCGGGCCATGTGACTCCCATCAGTTCTGCCTGGCATTTGCATCCTCTCTGACTTGTAGCGCTCAGAGGCCGGGCGAGGGGCTTGGCTTACGGAAAGCCCGGAGGCCCCAGGCACTACCAAAAGTTGCCGTCTGAATATGTGCCCTCGGCACACCTGCTGTGTGACTGGGGCAGATCTACCCACACGAGCGGGGCTGAAATCAGCACGGAGACGTTCACAGTGAACGAGAGAATTCCCAGTATGGAACGTAGACCAATGTGCTGCTTGCTGTCACACACACAGTGACGGTGTTCTACTCGTAGGAGCCTGTGAGGACCAGTGCGTAATCCCTAGCGCTGCCTGCAGGGATCCCCCGTGGCATCCCGTTTGTGATTCACGGGACCCGGCGTCTGGGGCGAGAAGTTCTAAAACCTTACTGCTAACACGGTGATCAGAGAATGCTAGGATGTCACAGTTCAGAGGGAGGCGAGTATGGGGGAAGGAGGAAGAGGGAGAGAAACAGGAATCACGCACCCACCCTGCGCTGGTTACTCTGCAGGTCAATTTCTTTCATTCTTCCCATGGTCCCCTGAGAGAGGCCTCATTGTCCCTATCACACAGGTGAGAACACTGAGGCTCCAAGAGGCTGGACCACATACGGGAGGCAGTACTTGTCATGATGTAAAAAGTATGAGCTTTGGTGTCAGGACAGAGGTGGGATCAGAGCCCAGCCTTACCACGAACATTTTCAGAGATTTGGGGCAAGTTCTGGAGCACTAGTTGTCTCATCTGGACAAGGGTACCTATGCATTGGCTTGTCAGACTCAATAATGTCCTTTGGGTGACAGCACAGCCCTAGCACACAATAGACCTCCAGGAAATGGCAGGAATCGTTATATGACACCCCCCCCCCCCCAGCGGGAGAACCAGGATTTAAACCCCGAGAGCCTCACCCCAGCCATGGGTTCCTTCCACTGTGACACCCGGCCTCCAGATCCACCCTGAGTGCTGTTCTGAAGGGATGGGAACCAGCACCGCTGGGACACAGCCAGGGCAACCGACAAGGCCTGTGCCCTTCAACGTTGTACATTGCAGGCCAGTGCCTGTGTCTCAACAGACAGGGAGAAGATAAACAGGAGGGTGCCCTCGCTCCATTATGCACAATGAAGATTATTCTCGGAGCATTTCTGCACGTTGGAAATCTTTTATTTAAAAATGTATAAACCCCTCTCTGCGAAACTGCCTGACTGACATTTCGTCAGACCTGACAACTGATCCGATGAGGAAGGCAAGACACAGAGATGAGGTTTAAAAGAACCCTCTACAGAGCTGCGGGGTTCGCCACGTGGTATTATAAAAATCATCTGGGGGCGCCTGGGTGGCTCAGTCGGTTAGGCGTCTGACTTCAGCTCAGGTCACGATCTCACGGTCCGTGGGTTCGAGCCCCGCGTCCGGCTCTGTGCCGTGACCGCTCCGAGCCTAGAGCCTGCTTCGGATTCTGTGTCTCCTCCTCTCTCTCTGCCCCTCCCCCACTCACGCTCTGTCTCTCTCTATCAAAAAATGAATAAATGTTAAAAAAAATTAAAAAAAAAAAAGAAAAAAAATCATCTGTCTCTCTCTGTCTGTTACCCTGTGTATCACCAGCCTTTGTGTCTTGGGAGCCTAGCCCAGTGCTGGAATATAGCAGGTGCTCACTGCCACATTTGGACTGAACTAGCAACACAGAAGCAGAGGCTGATAAGGGCGCAAACACCTTCCATGTTCCCCAGGACTTGAGCCTCCAGAGCTCTGTGTGCGGCTGCAGCTTGACTTCGGCTCACCTTAGGGCTCGGGGGGCAGGCGGTTGATTTCCATGAGTGCTCCGCTAGGCCGTGGGGGTGGAGCGGGCTGGCGGTCGTGTCTGGTCCGTGGTCAATTCCTCAGGAGGCGGGTTAAAGGGACCCGCTCCCGGTTCCCACCGAGACGCGCTTTCCTTCCCTGAAATGATCACTCCTGTGCACTCGCTTAATGGGATCCCAAATAACACGTTTCGAACGAATCTTTTTTCACCGTTGCTCCTTGGAACACATTTCAAATGCTGGCCATTAAAAACAGGCCATTTCACAAGCCTTTAATGATGACACTAATAACTGTGGGTTTTGTCTCCGAGAGTCCTGATGAGCGGAGGCGAGGAGTAAATTATGGAGCTAACGTTTATGTCTGTGGTTTATCGATCTGTGAGGAGTCCTCTTCCAGGGAATTACGCCAGCCCCAAACCTTGGCCACCCAGATTGCCTGTTCGCCTGTGTGACTGGCCCACCAGCATACAGTTAATTTTCAGTTTATATTAATAAGAAGATAAAGAACACGATGTGCCATTTCTGTAAGAAAGTAACGGACGTAGCAAAACATGCCACCTGGTAGTTACAAACAGGTCAGTTTTCCTGTTATGTCGTTATTATTTCCAGGTTATGTCGTTAACCCGTGTCACCGTGTCATCATGAGAAGGTTCCCTGCCGCGGTGGATGCTCATGTCCCCAGAGTGCATAGAGGGTGCCCCATCATAAAGTATCCAACGACATCACTGCACGTCATTTCCCACCTTTGTTTCCTGCAGGTGAAAGTCATGCTTCGCATCTGTTCCACGTTGGCCCGCGACACCTCCGAATCCAGCTCATTCTTAAAGGTGGACCCGCGGAAGAAGCAGATCACCCTGTATGACCCCCTGACCTGCGGAAGTCAAAACGTCTTCCAGAAGAGAGGCAACCAAGTTCCCCCTAAGATGTTTGCCTTCGATGCCGTGTTTCCTCAAGATGCTTCTCAGGTGGGTGTGGCCCCTCCCACCGTCCCCAGCCACAGGCTCAGGCAGTGTTGATTGGTTCCAAGAAGCCTTTCCCGTCCACCAGGACCTGTGAGCTGGGAGGGTGTCTTCCAGAGTGTTCTGACGTGTCAATTCTTCCGGCTGTACAACTTTTGGAAACCCGTGGGAGCTCCGTTGAATAGTTTGGTCCCGTTGAATTATCGGTGTCAGGCCTCGGGTGGCATCATCGTGCCAGGATTTCAACACAACGCATCCTTGGAGAGAAGGAGGAGGGCGGAGGAGGGCGCCAGTCCACGGATGGCTTACAGAAGCAGGGACTGGAAGGCAGAAGCGGAAATTTTAGGAACAACAGCGTGAAGATGGTGACGCGTGGGGTCCGCTAAGAACACCATGCCTGCCTGGGCTCCTGGGTGTGTCGAGGAGCTGGGTTTGAATCAGGCAGAGTTCTAGGGCCCTATGGGGGGCAAGTCCTAGTGAGGCATTGGTGTGGCAGGCAGGGAAACTGAGGCTCACATGCAGTCCTGCGGCCTGAATCGGTGAGGTGGAGTAGAGGGGAAGGAGAGAGGCGAGGGACAGCTGTCCTATTAGTTAGCTGGTGATGCGTTACAACTCAGGGGCTTAAACCAATGAGCATTTATTATTCCTTGTTAATCTATGGTCCGGCCGAGCGTTCTTCCATTTCTAGCTTGGCGCACTTACGTGTCTATCCCATGTTTGGGGGCTGCCTGGCTTTAGGCTGGTGTAGAATCCGCATTGTTTCTCCTCAAGCAGCAGGCTCTCCGGGGCTTGCGCTCACGGCGGTGGAATGATCCAAGTACACACGCCTCCCGAGGCTAGGCTTGGCGTTGACAAGGCTTGGCTTCTGCTGCGTTCGGTTGGCTCAGATCTGAGGGGTGGGAAGAGACCCCGCCTCTTGAGTGGTGGCACTGCAAAGTCACCCTGCAAGGGGCGCGTGCACACACACGCACGCACGCGCGCACACACACACACACACACACACACACACACACACACACAGGGAGTGTGGAGAGTTATGGCCGTTCTGCTCCGAGTATAATTTGGAGGCTCCTTGGGGGCCCAGAGTGCCAAGATTCCTGGACCGGAGCTCCTGGAGCCAATCCCAGTAAGAACAGATGTCCACTGGAAGATTCAGTCACACCATCTGGTGCAGTTCATCTGCAGTGAATCGGCACAGCTGAATCTTCCGGTAGACGCGTCACCCAGGTTACAGGTGTGCGGTGACCTGCCTCGCCTGCGTCCTGGCATCAGACGGCTGCATCTTCGGATGCGTTTCCGGCTGGCCCTTCCCAGGATTCGTACAAAACAGGGTGCTTCGGGGTGGCCAATGCCTGCAGCAGAGCCTGAGGACAAGGGTGCTCGCAGCTCCTGTTTGTTTCCGACGCTGCATCCGAGTGTAGAAGAGAGGACACTCACACGGGCCCCGGAATCATACCACAGACACACAGTGCATGTTACAGGCTCCATTCGTTAACGAGCTGGGCACATGGTTTCCCCAAAGAGTTTCACCACGAAGAGACAGAATATAAAGAAGTTCGATAGTTTCTCTGTGACTTTTGTGTGCGTGTGTGTGTGTGTGTGTGTGTGTGTGTGTGGTACCACCCAGCTCACTAATCTAAACCTGACATCGTGTCTAATAAATGGCCTGCACGTAATGTAATTAACACAGTTAAAACTTTTCTGAAGCGGTTCTCCCCAAGTTGCAGAAATTCCAAAGCAAACCCTAAATGAAGTGCGGGCTGTTAATGAGTTTTAGATTTGTTCCCGAAAAGAGCCATTTTTAACTGCTCACGTTTGCTTACATTTCACACGGGGCTCCACGCGACTGTCACACTCGCTTCCGGAAGCTTCTCTTTTGTTAAATTCGCCAATAATATAATGCATTGCATTTCTCTATTAAATTTGTGGTTTTCGGGAAGTTTCATATACATTAACCCACTGGACTCTTCTCGGAGTCTGTGCTGTAAAAGAGGGAAGTTTTGCCATGTTCACATCCTGCGCAAGGAAACTGAGGCTCAAAGATGCAGCCTCTCATTCGTAGTCCCTTTCCTGAGCAGACCTCGCTTCCTGCTTTCCTCCCCGTAAATCTCTCTGTCCTGCATCTCTGACCTCCCGCCATTTTATTCGCTGTTTACTAGCAGTGTGTCCTTGGGCGGGTCACTGCACCTCTCTGGGCCTCAGCCTCCTCATCTGTAAGCTGAAGACAGACCCAGATCAATGTGATTCATTGAGCCGATACATACGAGATGCTCGAAATAGAGCCGGAGCGTGGCGAGTATTCGATAACTGTGAGCTATCTTTGCCTGTCGTGTCATCACTGATGACAGTCATGGTCAGCCTCGGCGCCCGAGAGGTGAGCACCCTTTGAGCCTCCGAGGCAGGAAAGCAGGAAAGTGGATGCGGTGGATTCTGCTCTCAGGTCCTCAGTGGGCTCATGAGCTGCAGCCACCAGGGAGGTCCCAGGCGGGTATGAACTTGGCTTTCTCTCAGTCTCTCGGGACATCAGCTAAGCAATGATTGGAACAGTCCTTGCTCCTCACTGCCCTGGTGGACCCTCCCTAGGACCCATGGTGGCCTTGGCAGTCATCAGCTGCCCCCTCCGGGGCAGACCTCCACTGGGTCTGGCTGTGGGAGTGTGTCTTAGTCTGTTTGGGCTGCCGTAACAAAACAGCACAGACTGGCGGGCTTATAAACTATAGAATTTTCTTTCCCACAGTTTTGGAGGCTGGAAAGTCCAAGACCAAATCCTTCCCAATTCACAGCTGTCTTCCCGCTGAATGGGGTGAGGGAGCTCTCTGGGGCATCTTCCCCAAGAAGGCTGATCTCATTCATGAGGGTTCCACCCACATGACCTACTCACCGCCCCCCCCCACACACACACAAAGCCTTATTTCCAAATACCATCACAGTGGATGTTAGGTTTCTTGTTTTTTAATGTTGATTCATTTATTTTGAAAGAGAGCAAGCAAAGCAGGGAGGGACAGAGATAGAGACAGAGACAGAGACCAAGAGACAATCCCAAGCAGGCTCCACACTGTCAGTGCAGAGCCTGATGCAGGGCTTGAAACCACAAACTGTGAGAACATGACCAGAGCTGAAATCAAGAGTTGGACACTTAACCGACTGAGCCCCAGAGCTGCCCCTGGACGTCAGGTTTGAACATAGCAGTTTTGGGGGCACACATTCAGTCCCTCGCAGGAAGGGCGGTGGGGAGGACTCCAGCATGTGGGTAAGTGGAGGCTTCCTGCTGCCTGCGTCTGTGCTAGGGAAGGCTCCCTGCCTCTCTGGCCCCCCAGACGGAAGGCAGCAGGGGGCCCCCAGGGGCCACTGTCAACCACTAACAATATGAGATGGACAGGCCATTGACCACTGGAACTGCAGGAATTCAGCAAGGGGAGCCCCGTGAGGCCACTCCCGTGTCTCCTGTGGCCACTGGCCTTTGCACAGGTGATTCTGGTCCACACACAACCAGCTCTCTCCCTGCCGCCCTCGCCTATTTGGTGGCTGGCTCCAGGTGGGGCTGTGAGCCCCCTGGCTCCCCTCCTCACTTCATGTCCAAAGGAGGCAGAGTTCATGCAGCAAGAACTCCTCCCCCCTCTGCAGAGGTGCCCATGGGAGTTCCAGATTCTACTGCTCGGGGCGCCTGGGGGCTCAGTGGACTGGCCTCCGACTTTGGCTCAGGTCCTCATCTCACGGTTCGTGAGTTCAAGCCCTGGGTCGGGCTCTGTGCTGACAGCAAGGAGCCTGCTTAGAGTCTCTCTCTCTCGATCTTTCCCTGCCCCTCCCCCGCTTGCGTGCGTGGTCTCCCACCCACCCCCCCGACACCTTAAATAAATAAATAAACATTAAAAAGAATATTCTACTGCCTCAGTCTCAGGGCTTCGAGCCACCCTCTCGCTGCCTAGGTCCTGGGGGTGTGACAGATCCTATGGTCCCCATGGCAGCCTTGTCCTGCCCCCCCTCCCCCTAAGTCCAGGAGGAGCCCCCGGCAGAGTCGTTGAGGCACCACCAGAGCAGACAGCGGGGCGGGGGTGGAGTATGGTTTTTCAGTTTGGGTTTGGGAGAGAAAATCGATTTCCAAGTATTCACACCCGTTGTACTCATGCAGCCTGGAGCTGAAAACTGGATTCCCACCGGGAGGCACGCTGCCCCGCCGACCGCAGAGCCCGGGTGTTTCACGCCTCTGAGTGCATCCCTAAGTTCGGACTCTGGCAGGAAGGGGACAGCACACAGTGCACCGTTTTGTCCTCCTGGAAGCCTCAGAGGCTACCCAGAGAGTTCCCAGATGTCCCAAGTCAGGCCACAAAATGGACTGAGTTCTTGTCGTTGGAGGAGCGGTAGCTTATTGGGTGTTAATGGGGAAATAGCGAAAGTTCTCAGAAGCCTGGCCCCCTCCGAGGACTTGAGAGTCATGTGGCAGACGAGACACAGCAGGCTGCAGAGCAGCCATTATAACACGCTGACGAGGGGCCTTTGACACTGTACGTTGTATCTGCCCAGAGAGAAAGAAAGGGCTGGTTTTCAAGAGAAGGGGACGTGGCTCAAGAACGAGGAGGGAGGTTGGGAGAGAAAGTCGATGTAGATCACCAGGCCCCTGCTTATGTGAGAAATGCAACGTTTCCCAAGGTCATTTTCTTGAAATGGTATGTCATCTTCTTCCCACTAACAAGCTTGGTCCAATTCTATGCTCTGTGTGTGTGTGTGTATGTGTGTGTGTGTGTGTGTGAGAGTGAAGGAAGGATCCAGTTAGCAGAGGGCCAGTGGAAAGTCTAAATGCCTTGTCCAGCAGCCCAGAAGGGCAGATCAGGAAGGCCACGAGGTCCACGAAAACGCCGTGGCCTGTGCTCTCGTCCCAGCGTGTTGCTGCCTGGCCTGCGGAGGCGGCTGCTGGAACGGGCTGCAAGTCAGCAGAAGGGTGGTTTGCGGGCGGTGTGTGTGAGGCTCGGGCTTGCGAGAGGCAGAGGCACCGGACGGTTTCGAGCGGCCCAGGAACTCCTTTACGGCCTGACCCGTCCGTAGCGCCCCGGCCGTGGGACCGGAGCCCCGGGGCGGCGGGCTCCCCCCGCCGTTGCTCACGGTCCACTCACTGCACGTGTCCCCTCTTGTGTCCGCCAGGCCGAGGTGTGTGCTGCAACCGTGGCGGAGGTGATCCAGTCTGTGGTCAACGGGGCGGACGGCTGCGTCTTCTGCTTCGGCCACGCCAAGCTGGGTCAGTGAGAGCCGTGCTTGTCTCTGCTGTTTGTGTTCCGAATCACGCAGCCCGTGCTCCGGCGCGGGTCCCGGGGTCTGCGTCGGCAGATGGAAGGCGGTCGCCTGGACTGAAGAGTCACCAGTAACGGTTCCTGCTGCTAAAATGCAATGCCTGTCCCGAGTGGAGACCCAGTCACCTAGGAAACGGGGTGGGGTTCTTCCCACTTGGCCCAGAGAGCCAGCAGGAGGAGGGACCCGCGCGGAGCAGGGGCTCTTGGGTTCGGGGCGGTGGATGGAGCCCTCCGGGGAAAGCCCAGAACCGTGTCAGGACCTATCTGGGGAGCACCTGACAGCCGACCTTGCCTCCCAGCCTCTGGCCTGTGCCGGAGCGAGAAAGGACAAGGGGGTCAGGGGGCCAGGGGAGCACCCGGCCAGTTGGGTGCTGTGGGGTTGGATGATTGGACCCCCTTAGGGTGCCCTCGTACTCCTGGCCTGTGTCCCTCGGCTCGGCAGGCCTCACTTTCCAAGTCAGTAATTTGGGGTGCTCCCAAAGCACCCCTTTGCAGGGAGGGAGGCCGGTTCTAGGCCGGGACAGAAAACTCATTTCACCTCACTTCTGTCCTCTTGATCTCTGATCAAAGCAGCCACCCAGAGCTTAATAGAATTTGCTCATGCTATAAAAAGAGACACAGCATTGAACTTGAGGAAGGATATAAAGTGTAAGTATGTGCAGTTAATCTGTGGGGTGGTGATAAAAAGGGCTGTCATAGCGTTGAAAGATGTCTGCCTTCCCACCGCGTGTGAGACAGTGCAGCGACCGGATGGTGTGGGATCCTCCTCGAGGGGAGCCGTGACTTCATCCTGTCTGGGCGCTCACGTTATTACAGCCATTTAGCGCGTAGTACCGGGAAAGGCTTACCGCTTCCCTTGCCTCTTCCTCTCCTTCCTTCCCTCCCCCCACCTCCCCTGTGGAGGGGGACACTCAAGCCGTGTTCCTGCCTTGCCTCGCCCCCCCCCCCCCCAGGGAAATCCTACACCATGATCGGAAAGGACGACTCCATGCAGAACCTTGGCATCATCCCCTGTGCTATCTCCTGGCTCTTCAAGCTGATCAACGAACGCAAGGAAAAGACGGGAGCCCGCTTCTCGGTGCGGATCTCAGCCGTGGAAGTGTGGGGCAAAGAGGAGAACCTGAAGGACCTGCTGTCTGAGGTGGCCACGGGCAGCCTGCAGGACGGCCAGTCCCCGGGCGTGTACCTGTGCGAGGACCCCATCTGCGGCACGCAGGTGATTGGCTCTGGAGCTCAGTGTGGGGGAGGGGGAGGGGTCCAGAGTGGCTCCTCGCTGGGGAGGCTCCCCTGTGACTCACTCCACTGCACACGGGGGAGGCTCGTGAATGTTTACCTACAGGTGGACGGGGACTTTACGGCCTGCAGCTGGCTGCAGGGCCATCGGCCCCTAACCTAAATATTTGTACCTTGGATCTAACTGACAGTGAGCAGCAACCACAATTATCGGAGCCCTCGGGGGCAAATTGAATTCACTTTCTTTACGCCCCCTCTCAAGAACAAAAAGAAAGTACAGTCTTTCTTTTGTGTAACAACAAGCCGAAATATTTACTGCTCTGCACAAATAGCTCCAGCCATTACTGGTGCTGTTTACGGCTCTATAAACTGTGTTTCTGGCACTGGTTTACAGCTGGGTTAGTAGTGCCGTAGGAAACGCTAATAACCACTTTCTAATTAGAACCATGAAATAATTGCTGGAACCGTGGAAGCCAAGAGAGGCTCCAGTCCACCTTCGCGGGAGGTGGTGCCTGTTCTGTGCGTCTCACGCTTGCCGGCTGACAGCAGGTGGAGTGCGTCTGGTTCATATCCAGAAGAATCTGCCCTTCCAATCTCCAGAAGGCTTTATTTCCTAGTTTTTTTTCTGATAAGTGTTCATTTTGATGAGTGCCTGCCTCATCCCCGGTGGGATTGTTTTCTCGGGCGAGGTTCCCTCCAAGTTGCACCCATCTGTTCACACCTGGCCGTGTTCTTCCCCGGCTCAAAGCACCTCAGATCCTTCCATTTCTGTTATGAATCCCCCATTGCAAACCTCCTCATGATTTGTGAGGTCCTACGTGACCCCTGCCTACCTTTCCAGCATCATCTCTTGCCATGCCTCTTTTTTTTTTAATTTTTAAAAATGTTTTATTATTTATTTCTGAGAGAGAGAGAGAGAGAGAGAGAGAGAGAGAGAGAGAGTATGTGCACGCGCACGCGCATGCGCGCGCGCAGGTGGGGGAGGGGCAGAGAGAGAGGGAGACACAGAATCTGAAGCAGGCTCCAGGCTCCGAGCTGTCAGCGCAGAGCCCAATGCCGGGCTCGAACCCATGAACCGTGAGATCATGACCTGAACCGAAGTCGGACGCTCAACCGACTGAGCCACCCAGGCGCCCCTCTTACCACTCCTCTTAAGTTACATTCAGGTCCCTTAAAAAAGGCAGCGCCCCTCAAACTTCACTGTGCATATGAATCACAGGGGATCTTGTGAAAATGCAGGTTGTGGTTGAATCCGTCTGGGATGGGGCCCTGCTTGTGAATTGGTAACGAGCTTCCCAGTGATTGAGCACACTTTCAGTTGGAGGGCACTCAGACACCAGCCATCGTCCCTCTCCCCTCTGCACATCCTCCCCTCTGGCTCTTCATCTGGCAAAGTCCCTATCCTCCAGATGTCACTTCTTCCAGGAAGCCCTCTTAGATGGCTCTCCTTGGTCATCTGTGACTGCCCAGTTAGTTCTCCCACTAAGGGTGGGTACCACGTCTGACTACGATTGGCCGTTGGTAGTTTAAAAAAATTTTTTTTTACACTTATTTATTTTTGAGACAGAGAGAGACAGAGCATGAACAGGGGAGGGGCAGAGAGAGAGGGAGACACAGAATCGGAAGCAGGCCAGAGCCCGACGCGGGGCTCGAACCTGCGGACCGCGAGATCGTGACCTGAGCTGAAGTCGGATGTTCAACCGACTGAGCCACCCAGGCGCCCCTACTGTTAGTAGTTTCAATAGAGGCATCAGATACCACTTGGATGTGGAATCTAATCAGAATCCAAACCACTTAGTCATTCAAAGCCTAATCCAGCGGTCCTCAAACTGTAGTCTTTCTCAGTCACCTGGAGGACTTGTGAACACAGGGTGCCGGGCTCCCCCTCTAGAATTTCCGATTCAGTAGGCCTGGGATAGATCCCCAAAACATGCATTTCTAGCAAGTTCCCACGTGACGCCGATGCTGCTGGTCCAGGGACCACACTTCACGTTGAGAACCACTCTTCTGAAGCATCACAGCACCTGTGACAGAAATCAGTGTCACTTCGCTTGCTGTTGTCTCTCCAAGAATTACCTGGGTGCTCAAATATGCTGTGGCCTCCGTTCCCTTTTGTAATAACTCTGCCCGTGAAGCCCCCACTTGGGTGAAGGACCCGGTTAACTGAGGGCTAAGAAGAGATCAACAGCCTCTTCATTTTAACTCTTCGTGTCGAAAAATCTCAAAAAACCCTTTACCTTTTTTTTCTGCCATAATCATTCAAACGGTGACCTCAAACACCCCAGAGTCTCTCTTTGAAGTTCGGGGATTTTGAAGGTCCCAGGTGCCAAGATCAGCTCTCAGAGTTCAGAATTACAAGTGCAGTCAGAGTCGGGATAGGAAAGTGTCAGAATGTGTACCGACCCCAAGGCACATACCGCAAACCATTTCTTTGAATAAACGAGATGTTTCCTTTTCTCCCCCCCCAAAAAAGGGGTGCTAGTCAAATTCTGATACTATCGTTCTCATTAAGGTTTACTCTGATTTCCAAGGGATCTCATAGGATTAGGACACGTGGCCCATGATGCTTTCTTAGTTAATAAGTACCATGAGCATGAATTTAGGGATTAAAGATAAATTAAACAGTAGAGATGAGACAGTCAAGTATGTTGGGTGTTTTCATGCATCTTTTTTTTTTTTAATTTTTTTAGTGTTTATTTTCTTATTTTTGAGAGACCGAGTGTGAGGGGGTGAGGGGCAGAGAGAGAGAGAAGGAGACACAGAATCCGAGGCAGGCTTTCCAGGCTCTGAGCTGTCATCACAGAGCCCGACGCGGGGCTCAAACCCACAAACGGTGAGATCATGACCTGAGCCGAAGTTGGACGCTTAACTGACTGAGCCACCCAGGGGCCCCCAAACGTTCTAATCTTAGAGATCAGGATGCAAAGATCCTGAGATCACGTCCCTCGTGTGTTCTTGGGTGGGTGGGTAGCTGAGGCCGGGGCGGGGCGGGGCGGGGGGGGGGGGGGAGTTTACTATCCTCTGCAGAGATCAGGCTGGGCCCCTGCTCCCTGCCGTTCACTCGGATACAACCATTTGCTATTCACACCTGCTATTACTTAAATTGTGACCCTACGTTCCGTGCCATATGTGGGCTCGTTATGGACTTCCCGAAATGGATTGGTTGGGAATTGCAGGTGAGTACAGGCCGTTGTTCCGGAAGGACCCTCGGCCTTCGAGAGGCACGCGGCTTTTCCGCAGAACAGAGAGCCAGGTGTGGGCGGCACGCCGGCCCTCCTGCGGCTGGGGCCTCAGCTCTCGGCTTGTGTCTTCCAGCTGCAGAACCAGAGTGAGCTGCGGGCACCCACGGCAGAGAAGGCCGCCTTCTTCCTGGACGCCGCCATCGCCTCCCGCCGCGGCAGCCAGCAGGACTGTGACGAAGAAGGCCACCGCAACTCGCACATGCTCTTCACGCTGCACATCTACCAGTACCGCATGGAGAAGAGTGGGAAAGGAGGAAGTAAGTGGCCCCATCTCCACCCAGCAGGAGACCCGCCGTCGAGGGCCACCGTGACCCTTTTTGTTCCTAAAGTGGGCGACGCGCCCAACGTGGGGCTCGGACGCACGCCCCTGAGACTGAGAGCCGCGTGCTCTGCCAACTGAGCCAGCCAGGCGCCCCCTGACCCTTTTTTCTTAAGCGGGGTACGATTCCACCGGTATGGGGTTTGCTCACCTGGAGCTGCAGACAAACGTCGAGTCTGGACTGCGGTTCACTTTTGAGCTGTCGGGGGGCGAAGGTCGTTTACAAATGTAACTACTGCCAGGGGACGGTGAGCGAGAACTTGAAGCGGAAAAACAACCGTTTAGTACTATCTTTTTGTTCGCAACCTGTACAGGTGCTTTTCATGAAAGCCCGATATTTATGCGCCAGGCACCCTGATGATAGGTTATTAATCATTAGCTTGAGTCCCCTCTGTGGAGCTGGAAGAAACAAAGGCGTGCTTTTAAAATAATCTAGAAACCAGACTTTTTTTAGAACGAACCAGATTCTGGCTGCTTCCGTCCCTTGGGTGATGCCGGTCAGTGACGTTCTTCTAAGCCTGGGGCCCAGGCCCTGCCCTGTGGGGAGCGTCACTGCCAGGAGCCCAGTCCCCTCTGAGCTACCTATTCGAAGCCAGCACTGACCTCGGTGCCGCGTTCTCCCCTTTGCCTGCCAGGTCGTGCACGCTCCACACACTGGGGAGTATCTCAGATGGGCTCTTGGACCGTGGGCCCCGGGTCCGTGGACCTCACTGCACTTTGCAAGGCAATGTGAGCCGCTAGGCTGGCCGAGCAGCAGCTTCAAAGCCTCTCCATGGCCACGTCTGAGGGCTTTCGAAGCACGGGCAGCTGGTCCCCCTGTGCCCTCTGAATGATTGCCCCAAGGACCTGGGTCCCCAGAAAACAAACAAGAGCCCCGAGTAGGAGATGAACCCCATTGCGTGGAAACTGTGAAGCTAATCGACTAACACAGAGACCATCAACAAACCTGATTCTCGGTGGAGCCTGGAGTTAAGGCATCCAACTGGGATCCGTGGAAGGGCTTCCTGAGTCCTCCACAAGTCTTCTTGCCCAAGACATGGAAACCAGTAGCCTGGAGCTGTGTCTTGAGGACTTCTCTCCCCGCCCCCAGTGGAAGCTCTATCCTTCCCTAATCTCCACGCGTCTGCTGGCTCAGTCTTCTGCCATGGCTGTTCCTCCTTAATTGTTGTTAATTTTGTTAGCATTTATTTACTTATTTTGAGACAGATAGAGGATGTGTGTGTGCACACGTGAGGGGGGAAGGGGCAGAGAGGGAGAGAGAGAATCCCAGGCAGGCTCCCTGCTATCAGCACAGAGCCCGATGCGGGACTCAGTCCCATGAACTGGGAGATCATGACCTGAGCCGAAACCAAGAGTCGGACGCTCAACCAACTGAGCCGCCCGGGCGCCCCCAGCTGTGATTTTACTTCAGGTTTAAAGAAGTCTGATTTAAATTCGGTAAAACTTGCCCCTCTTGTGTGTTGTTAGAGGCGTTTTGGCAAATCAGTACGGTTGCGTAAGCACACGACCGTCAGAGACAGAAGAAAGCCACCAGCACAGAAAGCTCTCTCTTTGCCCTTTCTGGACAGTCCCTCCCCCCACCGCTCGCCCCTGACAACCGCTGATCCGTGTTTCTTCTTTTAGTGTTGCCTTTACCCAGAACAGCACATAAATGGAATCACGTGATCCCCATGTGGCTTTTTGTGTCTGGCATCTTTGATTTAGCAGAACGCATCTGAGATTCATCCGTGGTGCTGTATCACTCGTTTGCTTATATTTCTGGCTGCTCTCGCCTTTAGTTTCAGCTGAGCCTGGAGACTTGCCCCTGCGCCTCCTCCTGCCCCCTGGCCTGAGATCTCACCATCCACCCCGTCCTGGGGTTGTGGTTCCACGAGGCAACAAGGCTCTGACTGTCAGCCCCGGCTGCTCGCTGTGCTGGCTCCTGCCTGGGAGTCTGGAGACACTGGCCCCACGTGCTGGGCACTGGGTGCCCCTGGAGACAGACCAGCAGCAGCCCCAGTCTCTCCCGAAACCAGCCAGGGTCATAAGGGGATGGGGGTGGGGACTGATTCTCAGCGAAGGGCTCGTGACATGGCCAGCACTTCCGTTTAGAAAAATTTCTCAAAGAAGGAAACAAGGGATTAGGAGAGGGATGAGAAGATCCAGACCTTTAAAATTCATAACAGAAGTTTATCCCCCTAACAGTCTGGGGGGCTGGCTTTTAAATCCTGCCCTCACTGTTTTTCCTGGATTGTGTCGAAGCAGCACGAACGTGGGAGTCTGAGAAATGTTTTGTTTTTTAAGCTTTTTTTTTTAAAGCTTTATTTCTTTTAAGCTGTTTTATTCTTTTAAGTCAATAATAACGGAAATAATCAGAGCCCGCAGCGGATTCTTGCACCGTCGGCAGAGAGTGACTCACAAAAGATCCGAATTTTCAGCCAAGTTGCTTCCAAATGGCGCTGCGCGGAAGGTCTCGGGAGGTGGGGTGGTCTCCTCCTTCTGGGTTTCGAAACCACACTGAAAACAGCGGTTTCCAGTTTTTCACTTTTGTGTGTGTGTGTGTGTGTGTGTGTGTGTGTGTGTGTGTGTGTGCGCGCGCACGCGGGGTTCTGCCCTTAATTTGGAACCCGAAAGGGGGAAAGGATCTTGAAAATAAACCGTTAGTTAAGTTGCTTCAACTGTAAGAACTTAAAAGTGCAGCGTCACAGGAGCGTGGGCTGGGACGTTCCCTCGACCCACCGATGCTCCAGCGCTCAGCGCGTCCTGGGCACTTGCAGAATATTTAACATTCCCTTCACCTTCGTATTTATACATCGTGAAGGCACATTGCTCTTAAATAATACATCCAGGGTAGAGGAAAAGGCAAGTGCCATTAATGGCTCCCCGGACTTCCTGGGGGGGGGGGCTTTTTAATGTATCTGTAGGTGAGAAGGGGAGACGGTCCACGGACTGCCACCTACCTGCCACGACACCAGCTTCCTGGGAGCAGAGGAATCCGCGCCCGAATGCGCACAGCTTCCAGCCCGTGGCTCACTTGACTTGTGCGAATTTGTATCTGTTTAAAATATAATGAGAGATTTGAAGTGGTGTTTAAAAATGGAAGGTTTTGTTTACTTATCATAGATAAGTAATAATCCCTGTGGACCTGGCAGCCAGAACTCAATTAAAGGGAAGTTTATTAATTAGTTACCCTGCAGGGAAGCAAAGAGCAGAGCGTGAGGCTGTTAACTGGCCATCAGAGGCTCAGACGCCGGATTCACAGAGGTCTCTACGTCAGGAACTAGACACGCCATGCACATACATGCACCGGAATCTCACGTGTATGGATTTTATACGCACATGCATGTACACACGTATGCACGTGTAAGGAAGGGGACGAAAATGTTCTAGATGTGTCCAGTCACAATAGAAAATTCTACGCTGATGTATTCCTGTTTTGCACATAGCATTAGGTTAAGCTTAAATATTTCCCTGTTTCATTTCTATTAATTAATTTATTTTGAGAGAGAGCACGCAAGCAGGGGAGGGACAGAGAGAGAGGAGAAAGAGAATCCCAGGTAGCATCCGCACTGTCAGTGTAGGGCTCCAACTCACAAACTGTGACCTCGTGACCTGAGCTCAAACCAAGAGTCGGTGGCTTAACCCACTGAGCCACCCAGGTGCCCCAGATATTCCCGTTTGAAAGGGTTTTTGGAACGCTTATGGGGCTGATTCCCCATGTGTCCTGGAGCCTTCCCCTGCTTTGCCAAGCTGATGTGAGGGGCAGGGGGGAGGCTGAGAACCCCCGTGGGAATTCCTATGTTGGGAAGGAGACCCTAAGGCCCTGATGATCGAGAGCTGTCCCCGAAAAAGATGGGTCTATCAGGAGTCTGTTCACTATGTGTTTAAATCAAATGGAGCGTGTGCTGTATTTTCGAAAAATCAATGCATGTCTCTGTTACCTAGCTTAGCTATCTTTCTGGAAGAGAAGGACCATCCAGTTATCTTTCTCATAAGCAGATGGCGTGAGTTCAGAGAAGTCCGCTCATGCAGCACAGGCCGGAGATGGTCCGTTGAGAAAGTCAAAAAGGAGAAACCTGTCAAATGACACATTCTCGTCATGAACCTTTTTTTTTTTTTTTTTTGCATGTAACAATCTCCAAAAAAACACCTCCTATGAACCTTTTATTTCCACTTAAAACGTACACATGTGTATTTATTCATTGATGTTCTGATACAGGGCCACGGTTTTCTCTTTGAGATGAATTTTCAGCCAAAGTCCTGGCTTTCATAAAGCATGCCCATGTTAATGGTCTGGTTTTTACATTAAGTTTCTTCTAACTGATCCAAGAACTTAAAATACACTTGTGCGGCCTGCTGGTATTAGACCTTTTCTAGATTCTTAAGTTTTTCCCCACTCTGTAATTTCTCATTTCCACCTAATTCGACATCTCTTTAGAAAAAAACCTCATTTTTATCACATCTTCCCAAAGCATTGAGTTCAGTTTTTAAAGAAACATTAGTTCCATTTACACAGTCATATTTTATTGGTTTGCATAAGATAAGATTACATTTTTATCTACAGTAACAAGTGGCATAATTAGGTCCGGGAGGGAGCCCAGCTGACCTGTTAAGTATACAGCTCATTTTCAGGGAGCACAGACGGACAAGAAAACAGCCCGCACTGGCCACTCACATCCCATGTGCCAAGGGCATCAGGCGATGTGCCTCATAGGTGATGGCCTGGAGGCCAGGCAGCCCTTCCCAAACTTCACTGCACCTGAGAGTCCCCTGGGGAACTTTGCAGTGAATCCCAGTGTCTGGGGCACACCCCAGGCCAGTGAAGTTAGGAAGCCTCCCAAGTGGGAGCCCAGGCATCCGTATCTTTTTAGGTGACTCCTCAGTGATTTTCCAAGGCGATTCTGACGTGCAGCAAAGTTTAGGAGCCACTGAGTTAAAGACAAGTGAGTTCAGAGAGCA